GATATCGATCGAGAAGTTGTTGCGCTGACGAATCAAAGCGCTCTTGGCTAAAATAATTTTATACTAAATTGAATATAATACATATTATTTAACCTTTTAAACAAATATTTAAAAAAATATTTGTTATTAATAACTTATTATAGGTAATCAAAGAATTTTATTTAAAAAAACCAATGGTGTATAATCAAGTAAAGTATATTTCTTATTATTTTTTCTTATTTAATTTTAAAAACAAAACTTACAATTGTGCAATTTTGCAATGTACATTAATGTACATTGCTCACGGCCGTATCTAGGGGGGGTTTTGGGGGTTCAAACCCCCACCTGAAAGAAAATAAAATCCTAAAATATAAATTTAACCCATTTAAACATAATAGGTTTATTACAAACCTTTAAAAAAAAATTCAAATGCCACTGGTCTAACCCCCCCCCGAAATTTTAGTCTAGATACGGCCCTGACATTGCTGGACGTTAAATGGACTTTACTTTCTGATCAAAAATGAATACGTCCATTATTAGACGTATTATGGATGTATTTACTACTATGTCCATTGGACGTAACCTAATGAAGATCCCTGGGACGTTCATTTTAGGTCTATGGACCATTAATGGACGTCCATGGAATGTATTGTGCTGTATGGGTATGCTCAAGTTGTCATTACAAATATTTTTCCCATATAACTGAACCAGAACAATCTACCACCTACAACCGATGACGACATTAATCTAATCTATGATATAGAATATGATGAACATATGTCACAGGGTTAAGGAGCCTGATGCCTTTATTGCATCTACATCATCCCAAAACTATGTATTGAGTTTAAGGGTGTAAAATCTGATGTGTATCACGCTACTAGTGGTGTAACACAGGGAAGCAATCTTGGTCCATTGGTGTTTCTCATATTTGTTAATGATATTTCCTGTAAAATTCAATCATTAAATTTGTTATACGCAGACGATTTCAAGATATTCAGATCAATTAATACCATAAATGACTGTCATCTTTTGCAAGACGATCTGAGTGTATTGGATGCGTGGTGTGTAGGAAATCGGCTTTTATTAAATATAAAGAAATGTAATGTCATGACATTTTCAAGAAAAATCAACAGCATAACATTTCAGTATGCAATTGGTTTGGAAAAAGTTGAAAGAGTGGATACAATGCGGGATTTGGGTGTTCTGTTTGATGGTAAACTTTCATTTGTTCGACACATTAACAATACAGTTGCATCTGCAAATAGAATGTTGGGGTTTGTGATTAGAAACTCTAAACAATTTACTAATATTCACGCTATAAAATGTTTATTTTTTGCATTTGTTCGAAGTAAATTTGAGTATGCATGTGTTATTTGGTCACCATTTTACTTTGTTCATATTGATAATATTGAAAGATTTTGTAAATACTTGTTTTTTTATATAAGCTAATTAATGGGTTAATATTGGACTCTGAACAACTACTAAAAATCAATATTCACGTGCCTAGAGTAAATGCAAGATTTTGTCCAACTTTTTATTTAAATGCTTCTACAAACAACCAGCACATGCATGCTCCATTGACGTCTATGTGTAGAACTTATAACCAAATTTTGAATAATTGTGATATTTTTAACCAAAATTTAAATTCATTTGTTCGAATTATTCGCTCATTATCCTAAGTTGTTTTATTTATGGTATTTTGTCCTAATTAGCTATTTTAAATTTATCAACCTATAACTCTAATTTGTCACTGTAATCTAAATAATATATATATGTATATCCTTTATATGGACTGTTGTCTGTTGGATTAATAAAGTATTATTATTATTATTATTATACTTGGGTAACACATCTTAGTGAAGAAGGGCTGTCAAAACCTTCCCCAGAATTTATGGGTCATATGGAGGAATTAGAAAACAACGTTCAATCCGTTTATACAAAAAACTATTTAAAAAAATTATTTGACTCAAGTGTATTCATTCCATGTTCGGATAAAAGCAAAAAATTATTTTTTCGATCCCGAATTATTATTATTATTATTTTCGATTCAAACTATTAAATAGGCATTTGCATAACCAAGTTATTTCTAAAAAAAGAAAAATGACAAAAATAGTTAAATAAATTTTGTTATTCAAAATTATTTTCTTTAATACTTGTGTAAACTTTTATGTATTTAAACAACAATAAATTATTCTTACTACCTTATTATTAATATTATTTTTATTATTATTACAAAATCCTAATTGTCTTAATTTTTATATTATTGGTAGCATTTTTTAAGGATTTAACAACAATAAATAATTTTTACTATTATTATTATTATTACAAAAACCTAATTTTCTTAATTTTACAATATTATTGGTGATTAAAATAAATTGTTTATTTATTATTTGCTGTATTTTTATAATGTCTAAATACAACGACTAATATTACCTATATAGTTATTATTATCTTTATATAATAGAAAAGAAGACCTAAAACTACGATTAATAAAAGAAAAAATAAAATAAAGTGAAATACTGCCAACATCGCCATTTAAATCTTATTGCCGCTACAGAATATTACTTTTGGCGTGACGTCACAACTGACGTCAGCACCTACGCGAAATCATAGGTTATACCTTCCAATTCAATTGAAAAGGATAAATTATATTAATTTAGAAGAAACATACTTGCTTTTTATATGGAATTATCCTCGCAAGTCAAAACACGGTTCCAATTCAATGATCCTTAATTGCATTTTTGCTCAAATTTTGATCCAGAAATTGCGACCAGTGGAAAAGTGAGTTCTATTGTCTAAATTGTAAAGTTTATTTAGTAACTTTTCCTTTTAATTTTAAAGTCCTTTAAAAAATTAAATTTTAAAGTCCTTTAAAAAATTAAATTTTAAAATCCAGTTAAAATAAATAAAGAAAACTGCTATTCAGTAAGCACTTATTTTAAAGGTCCCGTAAAAAAATGAATTTTAAAGGAATCCTTTAAAACTTAAAGCCAAACACTTGGCAAAACCGCCTTTAAAGTTATTTGATATATTTGTAGTTCATCAACTGTCAACGTTTTGTCAGTTTGGGCGCATTTGTTGTTACAATTATAATTTGTGTTTGTTATATGTAATCATTTTTTATCGCCGACGGTGGTCTAGTGGTTAGTGCTGCTGACTACAAGCCGGAGGTCGTGGGTTCGAATCCCACCAGGGGTATGGCTGTTTATTTGTGTTGTCCTATTGTGTAATAGTCCTTCGGAGGGGACTTTAAGCCCGCGGTCCGTTCCTACCCCTAACCCGCACAAGCCATTCAGTTGGCTTATGGGACTTCTTAAGAAGTAAGGGTGGAACTAAAAGAGCACTTTTGTATATATTTTCATCTCCTGTGTTTATCTCCAAACAATTAAAATGAGTAGGGCAGCACGTACCACAACAAAAAGGGTTTTTGATTAACTTTTTAGAAGGAAATAGAATTCTCCTGGTTTGAAAATTGGAACCCCATGCAATTACCACGAGTTAAGAAAACATAGGAAAACCTTACTTCCCAGTTAAATAATATAGGGCCAACAAAAACAATTAGGCAGTGGAAAAATGTAAGTGTTATAAATTTATAATATACAGTAAATATACAATTAAATTGTTTATTGTTAAAGCAAGTCAAGTGACTTTTCGCAAACTTTTCAGTTCATATTCCAGCTTTAATTGACATTCTTTATACCTAATTATTATTTGAATAATTATAATATTATTCAATTATTACATAGGTTTAAAGAATTATTTTAAGCTAGATATAACTGTCTTAAATTTTAAACTGAAAAGTTTGCAAAAAGATACTAAATTTGTTTTAATTATAAACAAATTAATTTATATACAATTAACATTTTAAGAGCATAAGTGAAATAAAAACGTCAGTAAGACGGCGAGTCAGAGACGTTAGATTTGGGCAAACTGGAACTGGAGGAGGTGGTGCCGTTAAGCCTCTTACAGGACTTGAAGAGAGGCTTCTCTCCCTTATGTCTACTTTGACAGTGGAAGGAGCAGACCTAGTGGAAGCCGGAGGATCAACTACAATAAGGGAAGTTGTTGTTAAAGATGACTCATTACATATTGAGTCATCTTTAACAACAACTTCCTTCGATACAATTGTAAGTGCTATCTTGGCATTATTCACATTTTCTTTTAGTATAAAGTAACTTTTTTTGAAAATCATAAATTATCTATTGTAGATTTTTTGCATTATATCTGTACTGTGTTTATGTAATATTATTCCTTGTAGGAAAATATCAGTAGAAACACTGAGGGTAACCTTCTTGTTTATACAGAGGAAGTGGAAAATGTTCCACCACAAGAGCGCTTTCGAAAACTCGCAAGAGTGCACTCTGGATACAATCCAAGTTTACCTTGCGCGTTCGAAATCTCTGGTATATACCTAGATATATGCAACTGTCAACTGTTCGAAAACAGCAAGTATATGCCCAGAGTGCACTCTCGGTTGTCCAAGCTTTAGACTTCGTTAAGTTTTACCCGTCATGCGCATAGGGTACATTAAACAATAATTTGAATTTACCTTCATATAATTTATAAATATTCATTTAAAATTTAATAAAAAATATCAACTCTAAAAAAACAACAAAAAAATAGCACAAAAACTTGAATAAACCATATAACTAAAGGGTTGAAACACAATAATTTAATATTTATATGTATTCAGTCAAATAAAAAGCAAAACCAATTGGTTTTAGAACACTACAACATAATAGGTTTGTTCGAGTTGTACAATTCTGAACTGTTTAAAGATTGCGCAGAACTGTAGTCGCACTAGTTTTAGGTTCTAAACCGTTCTGGATTTTTAGTAAAATATTGAAAAACCAAAACGCTTACGGTGGTTTTCAAAATCCCATGTAGGTGTCACTTTTAGTATATCGGAATTTTGTTTAACCTCCAAATTTAAAACTTCATTATTTTATGCTTCTTGTTATATGATTCGTTTTCTGTGCTTGTTCCTGTATAAGAAAGTTTATTGCATTGTCAAAATAAAAATGACTGGTAAGGCTTTTTTACTTATTAGCTCTGTTTGATTAATTTATTTGGTTTAAGAGATAAGTTCAAACGAAAAAGACAATGATAATTTGGACAACTTTTTTACGTATGAACGAACACTATGCCTTATTAATTTATATAAAGATTATCGTCCAAAAAATCAAAAGGGGCATATAAAAAGTTTAAAAAAATTATGGGAAATTGTTTCCAAAGACATATCAAATATGTACCGTGTAACAGTGTCTGCCATGAAGTGTGAAAATAAGTTTAAGGTTCTTGAAATAAACTATAAAAAAGTGTGTGATAACAATAATAAAACTGGCAGGGGAATGAAAACTTTTGCTTTTGAAAAGGAATTTGATGAAATGTTTGGAAAAAAAAGAAATTTTAAACCTGCTTTGCTATTGTCTGCTGATAAGTGTTATTCACAAGAAAGTGAACCACAACTAAAGACATCACACCACAACCATCAACCATCGACCAGCAAAACCATAGAGGAAGTTGAACAAGAACAAGTAACTGAATGTATTAATAATACAATTGAAGAAACTGAAGAAAAGGGCATAAATAATAATACGAGGACTCAAAGACCAACTCCTTTATTATGTCGGAGAAATCCTAGGTCAAGAGTTCCCTATAAAAGAAGGAATGACGTGTTAATTGAAATTAAAAATGATTTTAAGACCTACTATTCTGAAAAAGTTGAAATTGAAAAAGAAAAATTAAAAAAGAAATTCTGGAAGAACGAAAAAGAAGAACAAGCATAATGGAAGAACATGTGCAAGAAATAAAAATATTTAATGAGAACAAGAAAAACTAATTAATAGGTATTTAGGATTTTATTATTTTTACAAAGAATAAGTTTTTTATGTTTTCAAGAAAAAATATTTATGTTTTTCACCAAATAGGTATTTATTTTTGTTTTATTTATGAAGAATATGTTTTAAGTTTTTTATATCCCCAACCAAATATTTATTTTTATTTATTAATACCAAATATTTTATTTAAGTTGTAAACAAAGAATATATTATAGTTTTTTATGTTCCTAAGCATTTATTAATTTTTGTTGACAAAGAATATTTTTTAAGTTTTTATTAAATGTGATATACATATATGTAGTTATGATTTTTAACTTACCCAATCATCTCCAAGCTAAAATTGCCATTCAGAGAAAAAATTGAAGTCATCTTGTGATAAAGCAAGTAGGGTATTTTTAGTGACAGGATTTTAAGAAGTTCCCAAATTTTTTTTATTTTTTTTATAATCTTTAATGTTTTTAAATGTGACTGCAAATAAATGACGAATTTTGGTTTTCTGATCCCGAAGGAGAGGACCCCAACCCCCCATGGATGCACCACTGGGTCTTTTTGATTTTGTGTTAATAATATGAATTTTTGTAAAATCAATAAAAAATGCAAGAAAAAGTTTTTACCACCGCTAATGTTTTTGTTAGTTGAATTTATAACTATTTTCCTACTTACCTGTATATTTTTTTAAATTTGATAAATAAAAAAAAATAATGTAAAAATTGTTTATTCTAAAAAATGCTTAAAAATATTTTATCTGTTAAACAAAAGGCTGGCAATGTAATTTCTATATTGATGACCTGCTTGATTTCCATCCTCTTCATCATTATCATCTTCATTTAAATTTCCCAATATTTCATCAATGTTTTCCAATATTTCATTGCTTAGCTCGTCATTAATTGCCAAGTTGTGTAAAACACAACATGCTCTAATAAAATGGCAAGTTGAAGTTATGTTGCGTAACTTTATATGGTAAAATTGCCCAAATTTTTGATTTAGAATCCCAAATGTGTGTTCAACTAATATTCTAGAATGACTTAAAGTTTTATTGTAATTTCTTTCTGTAGCTGATAATCTACCATTATCCCGATAAGGTGTCATTACATTCCTAAGACATGGATAGGCACTATTAGCTAGAATAAATTTTTCACCACATTTTTCTTGGATTGTACTAAACAGTGGTGATGTTCTAAACACTCTGCTGTCATGAACCGACCCTGGATAACCAATAAAAATGTCTATTATTTTTCTGCTGCTATCACAAACTGCTTGCATCTGCAAAAATAGTTTATTTTCAAAAAAAGTAAATATTAGTTTCCAATTTCTGTAGGTGTAAAGCTACCTGTATAGCATAATGTTTTTTTTTCTATTAAAATATGATTCAGGATCTTCAAATTCCTACTTACCTGTATATTTTTTTAAATTTGATAAATAAAAAAAAATAATGTAAAAATTGTTTATTCTAAAAAATGCTTAAAAATATTTTATCTGTTAAACAAAAGGCTGGCAATGTAATTTCTATATTGATAACCTGCTTGATTTCCATCCTCTTCATCATTATCATCTTCATTTAAATTTCCCAATATTTTATCAATGTTTTCCAATATTTCATTGCTTAGCTCTTCATTAATTGCCAAGTTGTGTAAAACACAACATGCTCTAATAAAATGGCAAATTGAAGTTATGTTGCGTAACTTTATATGGTAAAATTGCCTAAATTTTTGTTTTAGAATGCCAAATGTGTGTTCAACTAATATTCTAGAATGACTTAGTTTTATTGTAATTTCTTTCTGTAGCTGATAATCTACCATTATCCCGATAAGGTGTCATTACATTCCTAAGACATGGATAGGCACTATTAGCTAGAATAAATTTTTCACCACATTCTTCTTGGATTGTACTAAACAGTGGTGATGTTCTAAACACTCTGCTGTCATGAACCGACCCTGGATAACCAATAAAAATGTCTATTATTTTTCTGCTGCTATCACAAACTGCTTGCATCTGCAAAAATAGTTTATTTTCAAAAAAAGTAAATATTAGTTTCCAATTTCTGTAGGTGTAAAGCTACCTGTATAGAATAATGTTTTTTTTTCTATTAAAATATGATTCAGGATCTTCAAATTCCTACTTACCTGTATATTTTTTTAAATTTGATAAATAAAAAAAAATAATGTAAAAATTGTTTATTCTAAAAAATGCTTAAAAATATTTTATCTGTTAAACAAAAGGCTGGCAATGTAATTTCTATATTGATAACCTGCTTGATTTCCATCCTCTTCATCATTATCATCTTCATTTAAATTTCCCAATATTTTATCAATGTTTTCCAATATTTCATTGCTTAGCTCTTCATTAATTGCCAAGTTGTGTAAAACACAACATGCTCTAATAAAATGGCAAATTGAAGTTATGTTGCGTAACTTTATATGGTAAAATTGCCTAAATTTTTGTTTTAGAATGCCAAATGTGTGTTCAACTAATATTCTAGAATGACTTAGTTTTATTGTAATTTCTTTCTGTAGCTGATAATCTACCATTATCCCGATAAGGTGTCATTACATTCCTAAGACATGGATAGGCACTATTAGCTAGAATAAATTTTTCACCACATTCTTCTTGGATTGTACTAAACAGTGGTGATGTTCTAAACACTCTGCTGTCATGAACCGACCCTGGATAACCAATAAAAATGTCTATTATTTTTCTGCTGCTATCACAAACTGCTTGCATCTGCAAAAATAGTTTATTTTCAAAAAAAGTAAATATTAGTTTCCAATTTCTGTAGGTGTAAAGCTACCTGTATAGAATAATGTTTTTTTTCTATTAAAATATGATTCAGGATCTTCACTTGGAGTATCAATTCGAACGTGAGATCCATCCATACAACCCAAAACATCAGGAAACCCCATTGCTTCAAATCCTTGGGTTATGTAGAGTTGTTCATGTTCGGAAGGCCTCTTAATTATGGTACCAGACATGTTTGATAAAAACAATGACACAGTCTCAATAATTGAATGTAGTGTACTAATTGTGATATTAAACCTATCAGCAACATCTCGAAAAGATGCAGCTTCATGGCCAGCATACCACAGAAAAATTAACAAACGTTTTTCTGCACTGATTCTTGCATGTCCTGTGTCATGTTTTGGATAAAGATCTGAATTTTCATATTGAACTGCAAGGTTCTCAACCAAATCTCTTGATACCGTAAAAATAATACCGTTATTATTTAAAATTTTATAATTCAAACAAACCTTTTTGCAAACACAATATTTATCTGAAATGTTCCATGAACTCCCTATCAGTATACAATGGTATAGTTTCCTCCACAAAATTTTCATTTTTTGCACAACTATTTTGCACAGTATTTAAAACTGGAATTAAAATACGTTCTTCTTCAGAATCCGAACTCGATGATGAGTCTGAACTTTTATAAAGAAAATTAAACAATGGTATTTTGTGCTCTGACATGTTTAAATGCGAAAAACCAAAATAAAAGCAGCGAACCTATAAGTATATAACCATAAATTAAAACGTGAGAGTCCAATGCGCAGGCGCCACGAAAACTGTTCCAAAGAGTACGCACTCTGAGCTCGTATTAGTTTGAACGGTTCTGAACTAGTCCTGAATCGTCCACAAAAGAAACCAAAACAACATATTCACCAGTTCCAAACTAGTTTTAAAAATACCCGAACGCAAATTTCGTAATGCGCATGATTCTGACAGTTCTTATCCGTTCATTTCGCGAACCCGAACAAACCTAATGTTTATAGGTATATGCTCCGCGGCGTTCGAAAATAACAAGGAGGTCAGGTATAATGTAAAGTTACGTGATTATATACTTATACCATATCCAAAGTAGACTCTCATTTCAAACGCACTCCAAGTGTCGACTAATATTCCACAACAAAAAATACAAACAAAAAATAAACAGCGACAAAGAAAAAAAAGCAGTGGGAAACAGAGCACAGCATTGAATAATTAATAATTAACTTGGCTAGATCAATAAATTCATATATTAAACATTCCAAATAAGATGTTAATTACAAAAAAGAAAATTGTGCATGTAAAATCTTATTCGTGGTGATGTATCTAAAAGTCCTATCTTGATCCCCTTTAGTCTTTTTTGTAATTTAAAATTTTTATTTAAAAGAAATTAACTTAAATTAACTTTATCAAAAATGGAATCTCAACATTAGAGATGGGATGGTATCTGCGGAACTGTTACTTTGTCGCGGTATTTTTTAATACCGTCGCGGTATTGCGTTCCACGCCGAAAGCACCGGTTACTTTGGAACTGCCAGAGCGCTGTGTCGCTGTTTCCTGCACTCGGTTAATTTTCGTTCGCGTCGCCTTTTAAGTTTGTAGTAAAGAATGGCGCGATTTTAACCGTGAGGGGAGAGCGAATTAGTATTTGTCATGAGTTTGGAAAACTCTTTTTTGGGTTTTTTTAATACATAACTACTAAAACATTTATTTATCTCTTAATGCTCTCGAACAATACCACAGATTACACAGTACGACAAAATTTGATTTTTGGTCCCTCCCATGAAAAATTTCTACAGATTCTAAAAATAGAGTTAAAAAAATGATACCCGTGTCTCGGCGTTTTTTCACATCACGTCATAATTTTTTTTAAGGGCTATCCAATAAAATGTTATTCACACTATTCGCGACATAATTTAATAGACTCGATAACAGCTGGACTGCATAGTTAAAAATATATATATTTACTAAATGGATAGGCAACCATTATAGATGCATTTTAAAATTATTTTAATCTTATACAGAGTTTTGCACATTTATATTTATATCAAACGGTTTATTTTTAAACCAAGTAACAAAATGTTTCAATTTTAAGCCAATCAAAATGCTTTAAAGTCGGGTGATTAAAATTTTTTTTTATTCAATTTTTTGTAAAAATTGAGCTTTGTTGAATTAATATTTTTTTTTTAAATTAAAAGATATTTAAATGAATTGATTTAAGTCTTAAAGCAAGTTTACCTAAAACATATTTAATTTAAGTAAAAAAAGTATTTAAGTATACGAAGTCAATTGAAACAGCAAAAAAACAAAAAATTTACCTATCTGCGGCATTTATACATAAAAAGCATTGTTTTCAAAACAATCTTTATACGAGGGTAATACTTTTTTTTTAAATGTTAAATAAAAACATTATTGCAGCGATAAATCGATAAATTTTTCATATTAATTTTGATTGTTGAGTTAACTATCCATTTGAAATCAAAGTAAAAATGCAGTGTCCGAATCGAAATAATTTTTGTTATGTATGTGGTTTATTTGCACCTCCAAGCCATATGCGAAATATTACAAAAAGTGTAGTAACAGCTTTTGAAGACTATTTTTTGGTGACGTATATACCAAACTTATGGTATGTACCAGAGGTTTTATGCGATTATTGTTACCGTTGTTTGCATGGATTGCAAGATAAAACACACAGTATGAAATATGTTTCACCAACAATTTTGCTTCGACCCGTCGCGACGTACCGAACACGCATCTGACCAGTGTTATTTCTGCATGTCAAAATTAAAAAGTTTTGGATTTCGGTACAATACTAGAGAGAAAATTGATTACGCCGATGTAGAATCCGTCATTCTCGCAAGAGTGCGATCTGGAGATTATCCAACTGCTCCTTCAGAAAACATATGAGAGGATAAAAGTAAAAGACCTTTAACACCCAGTACAACCATTTTTTCCTAGATGGAATCTGAATTTATTCCCTGTAGTTCGGGTTATAAAGTACATTTTATAACCCAGGACATGAAAGTACATATGTCACTGAAAATACATTTTCTCCATGCTCATTTGGACTATTTTCCACCAAATTTGGGCGATTTTAGTGACGAACATGGCGAACGTTTTCACCAAGACATTTTAACAATTGAAAAACGCTTCAAGGGAAAAAACGTCAGGCATTTGCTGGGTGAATATTGCTGGTCAATTGTTCGAGATTCTGAAGCAATATACAGCCTGTTCAGAATAAAACCGAATATATCTATATATATATATGGAGCGTGGCCTCGCCTCCCTCCAAGGCGCGTCACAGTTGCTTGTGTGATAAACGACATGACGAACGGTCGAGCAGGTAAGGACTTAAAAAATTAAATGATAATAATGCAAAAAATCTCATTAGCGATGCAGTCTATTTGCTTAGCTACTGTGTCGCGCGTTGGAGGGAGGCGAGGCCACGCCCCATATATAGATATATTCGGTTTTAGTCTGAACGAGCTGTATAATCGTCAAACTAAACGACCAAGATTTTATTCCAACATGTATTGAATATAAGATAAATACAGAAATATGTTTCATTAACAAAAAATAAAAAAAAATTATTTAAAAAAAATCAAAATATAAACTTTTTTATATTTGTTTTTTTATTGTGTAAAAACATACAATATTTACAAAAAAATATATTTTTAACCGAGTAAAAAATGTACAATCTGTATAAGCATAAATAATAGGAATGACGGCTTAAAATTTTTTTATGACGTGATCTCGTGAAACTGTGATTATTGGATTATGGATTATTATACAGGGTGGAACGTTCCGATATTTAAGGGTGATTATTTGGGCTAAGATAAGAATATAATCATAGATACCAAAATACTCCATTTTAAAAATACAGGGTGCGCTCGCCAAAATTTCAAAATACAATAATTTATTAATTGTCAATTGTACGTTTTTTTAACCTCTATTTTCAAAATTTGCTAAAATTTTTCATGGGAGGGAAATCGTGTTGTACTGTGTTATAAAACAATACTTGTTTTTTAATCGTTCGACTTCGTTCGTACACTTTCGGTCGTGCGCTCTCAGCAACCAATCCGTGGCAGACGACAGAGGCGTAACTAGTTAAATTTTAAATATCGCGAAACAGTATTGTTGCAAAGTAAAACAGTATTATTTTTGTCTTGGTGAAAATTTATTTAAATGGATTATTATACAGGGTGGAACGTTCCGATATTTAAGGGTGATTATTTGGGCTAAGATAAGAATATAATCATAGATACCAAAATACTCCATTTTAAAAATACAGGGTGCGCTCGCCAAAATTTCAAAATACAATAATTTATTAATTGTCAATTGTCAATTAAATGAAATTAAACTTGTTGCTAGTAATAATATTATGTAGTAAGTAAATAAATTAACACATCAACACAGAACACATTTAATTACAAATAAAATAATTGCATGAAGGAAAAACAAAAATAATTCTGAAAAACTATAAAACACAAAACAACATTCTATAAATAATTAGGAACCTTTTTTTTTGGTAATAATATAAAATAACATAACAAACAAAAAACATATTAATATTCCTGGTTTGTGTTCAAAAATAATATTTGTTTAACTTTAGAAGAACTTAACCTGGCTCTTCTATCAGAAAGAATAAGCCCGGATTTTGAAAACATTCTCTCACATGGAACGGATGTAGCAATTGGAACAACATTTCTTTTGACGACCAAATTAGGAAAATTATAAGCGTTATTTTTCCACCAATTTAGAGGATCTTCTTCTCGGGAAATTGGCGGCTCTTCTAAATATCTCTGCACTTCGATAATGGCTTTTGATTGTGCTGTTCCAGTAGGTTGAAAATATTCCAATTTTTTTTCGAATTTACCCCATATGGAGATTTCTTCTGATTCGGTATTTTGTTTATTTTCTTGGCGTGGTTCCTCCGATTTTTCACTCATTTTGTTATTAATTAATAATACAACACGGGATGAAACAGTTTTTTTTACTTTGTCCGATATTTGGTCATTAGAAAACCCTAAGTTCTTAAACCTGGGATCCAAAAATAATAATAATAATAATAATACTTTATTGGTGTCATTACAAAATAAATATGTTTACACAGGTCAATGTAGCCAAGGTTAAGGAGTTACTAGATTCTAAATCACCGAGCCTATTTTTAATACCTTTAATAATTACATTTATAATTGTTCGGATAATTGGCAAAAATCCTGTTTTAGCAGAAGCCCGTCTGTTAATATAATTATTGAGGAAACTACTAAATAGTTTTGCCCACACTTTGTCAAGTTTTCTAATGGTTTTAATACTTTTATGATCTCTTTAAAAAAATTCCACTCTTCAAGGGAAATGACAGGGAGATCCTTATTTATTAAAGCCATTGTTGTTCTTTAAAACGTTCCACCATAAAATATATAGAGTTCCAGCGAGTTACAACCTCCTGGATGAGCTTTTTTGGAATGCTGTCAGGGTTTATTCGCTTTTGCTGCTCTTTAAGCTTTGCCATTGCCGAAGTGCTTCTTTAAAAATATGCCACTATAGCTTTTACCTTTTCCAATAGACCAGACACATCTGGTTGTTTAAGCTCATCTTGGGCTACAAGGTTTATGGTATGGGCGTAACATCCCAAATGATTTAATTTTAATTCATCCTTTATTGCCTTACGAATGTTGGCGGCGTTGTCCGAAATTACCATTAATATTTTGCCTTCCAAATTCCACTCTAATATAACCCGTTTTAGTTCCTTTGACAAATTCTGGCTAGTATGAGTTTCTCCAAAAGAGGAACAATCCAGGAGCATACTTTGGTTTTTAAAGTTTTCATTAATAAAGTGCGCAGTTACTGCCATAAAGTTTTTACTATTTCTGGACGTCCAACAGTCTGTCGTTAAAGTAACAGCCTCAACTTTGTTTAATGCAGTTTGGCAGACAAGGAACGTTTTCTCATAAGAAGCTTGTAAAAATGTGTTCAAAAGTTTTTTTCTGGAGGGCAATTCATATGATGGATTTAATGCGTGTACAAATTTTTTAAATCCGTAATCTTCGACGACAGAAAATGGTTGAAACTCTTTGGTAATTAACAACATCAATGTGTCGTCAATTTTTTTTCTAGAAGACACACCCAATTTCTTTTTTAAAAAAGAACTGACCGTTGTCTAAGAAATTTGTTGGCTTTTATTTGCTTGTACATGAGCATCATCAGATACAGCAACTGGCTTATCAATGGATTCATGTGATGTTGACGGTTGAGCTTGAACATTTTGAGGCGATCTGAAGCGAAATCGTTGCGGTCTGTCTTTTTTTAAATTTTTGTCCGTGTTTATATTAACAAGTGGATGTTTTCGGGTCATATGTTTTCTTAAGTTATTTGAACTTGATTTGTAACTAAAAACTTGCTTACAAATGTCACATGTGGCTAAATTATCCGAACCAGGTTTTTCGGAAAAAAAATTCCAAATAAATGATGTTTTCTGCTTGTTCTGAGGCATTTTGGACTGGAAACAAAATAACGCCGAATTACAATTTGGGTGCGTGCCTATTATTAGAAACATAAGGCGTTTTCGAAAACATACCATGGGTTACTTAACCGGGTAAAAAAAACACTACGAGAATCAAGGGGATCGAAAAAGGAAACGAACGCCAGGTTCATTTAAATGGGTGACGGATTACTTGCTTGGGTAGGTTACCGAAAATTCCTATAGATAAATGCGTTTATCCGTTTATTGCGCACTCTTTTTTTGCTTTTTATCGTTATCAAACCATTACCATGAGAAAATGTAACTATAGTTCCCTATAGGGAAAAAAATTGTAATTACCTATAGCATACAATTTAGCGAATCGATTAATGCTGATTAATAGGGAGTTATCAGGTTATCAAATTAAGAGAACGATATTTTATTATCACTAATTTGTAAAGTTATTTAAACTCAATACTAGAATAAACAGGTAGTTTTTTAATTTAGCTAGTAAAAATCAATTTTCATTAGGAATTTAAATCTTAAATTTTTGGACGCCCGGATGATATTATTAATATACAATATTGTATTTAATAAATATTATTTATAAACTCATGCATAAATACCTTTGTAACGCTTAATACAACTAAAATCAAAACACAACTCGAAACAGTAGTTTGGGGAAATGCCAGCGATGCGAAAGCGCCAAAGCGAAGAATACGAAGTACTAAGAATTAAGTTATTTAGTTTTTAAACAATTGTCGTGTTTTTAAAACGTATTTTTTATATTATAAATAAAAAGAATATATATTTTATGTATATAAATAATAGTAAAATAGTAGGTATGTTTTTTAATTTTAATTATCTAATCTGCATGCACATTCCTTTGCTCCGCCAACTTATACTGACTTAGACTGTACTTAAGGTTCCGGTAATAAAACTTTACAAGAGATAGGCGTACCCTAGGGTATTTTGTCGCGGTATTTTTTTGTCGCGGTATCATTTGGAACGGTACCGTAGAGGAACGGTATTTCCCATCTCTACTCAATATAGGACTGCTTGTAGGTCTTTAGTTAATCTTACATGTTTAATTTAGTTTATATTTGTTAATGTTTTTAAATGTTTTACAGTTCAATTGAATCGGTGAGATTCCAAATATTTTATTTTGATAAATCATTTTTTAAACGCAATTTAAAAGTTTAACATGCATTTATGCGAGAAGATATTAATTATTTTACAAAATATTATTATATTTTATAAAATAGTTAAAATATTCTCACAAAAATGCATTTTAAACTATCAAAACTGATTTTATGAAATAATTTGTCAAAATTTTAACTTTTGGACTACTTTTGGTACTTTTTTATTCTCACCGATTCAATTATTATTAGTTAAATAATTATAATTTTTATTATTAAGGGATTTTTGTTTAATTTATTTTTGTTTGTTTTATTTTTATGTTTAATAAAAACCAATTAAGTATGACTAGATTTTATTTTTATAATACATTATTAAAATATTCCTGTACAACTTACGTCGAACTTCTTCTCCTCTTATATGCCAATTCTGATTTTGAACATTATCTTCTAAATCATGGTCTAAATCCAATATTTCTTCCTTAGGAAAATCATCTTTATAGTAGCGTGTTATATTATGTAGAATACCGCATCTATAAATTATTTTACCTGCTTTTATGGGATCATATTTTAAAACTATATGCTTTAGTAAACATCTAAATCTAGATTTAAGAACTCCTTTCAATTTTTTAATAATATTTCTAGCCCTTATAAAATTGTAATTGTAACGACTTTCGGGTGAATTTTTTTGCGGGTTTCCAAATGGAGTTAGGAGAAAGGGTTGCAATGGATATCCAGATTCACTAATTGTAGCAATTAAAATGACTTGCCTTGTGTGCTTCATTTGTATTGCTGCATTTTGTTACTTTTCTACCATGAGTTTCCGCAGAGTTGTATTAAATTAATACATACTGCGACATCTACTGGCGAATAGCCATACTTCTATTCTTGGTTTTCAACCACTTTAGCGGTTTATACGGAATATTTCTCGATTGTAGTGATTTTTCTAGGGACTTGTCTTTTTCGACCAGACAGAAGAATTTCCGGTGTATATTTTAATTTGTGATAAATTCTTATTCATCTGAGCTATAAATCAAGTAAGTTATCTTTTAAAGTATTCAAGCAATAATATATTGTCCGATGATTATTTTAACAGGAGTATTTTTATTTCTTTTAGTGTTAAGATGAATAATCCTTAAAAGTTTGGTTATGTTATTGACCCACATATAATTCCGTTATAACAGCTATATCTGGGGTAAGTATTTCTTTAGAAGGGTTAATTGTTTAAACAATCGTTTCAAGAAAATCGTAATTTGTGTTTCTATGTTTTAAATAGATTTTTCCTGGTGTTTGGAAATAGAAACTTCAAAGATGTTAAGTTTGGGTTTGAAAATTTTATTTTGTCTTTTGGAAGCATTGCCAGAGCCCCCAAATGTGATATAACTCAGCTTAGTGTTGCTGTGGTTCCTAGCAAGCTAATTTTCCTGTATAGACGTACAATGTGTCCATAGGAATTGTTTATTGTATCATTGCTATCAACATTGTCTACAAGACTATTTCAACAACCTGCTATTTGGTGAGAGATTTCTAATTTAAATATTTACCAGTGCTATCCAGAAGCCGAAGATGCCTTTATCGTAGAAAACTTTTTTTTTACCTTCAGTAACTTTCGTAAAGAACATATTTTAAATGTTACATTTAGCGAATCAGATCTGAACGCGTTAATTGAATTTATTTTTATTTAATACATAAATGTTTATAAACAAAATAGATACACATATTAACAATGCTACATTTTTGAATTTAAACCTATGTTATTTTCTTAAATATACTTGAGGTAAACACCTCATTTATCATTAAAATTCTTATAATATAAATGTTATTTTTTTTAAATAGACATTTTAATGTCAAAACGAACATCTAAAACCTTATGACACTAAACTATATACATATTTTTGACATTAAAATATCCCAGTCATAAGTTGGCGCCCTTAACCGGATTCCAACAATTTAAACATCTGAAAGTCAAACCCCCCAAGTATAAAAAAACTTACCGTTAAAGGAGCATAAACTCCACTGAGCTGCTAGACAACCTATTTTGGGCTAAAATTACGTTACACAATAAGGAATTAATTATTACCCTGAATATACAGGTTTTCCATTATTGTCCTTATCATTGATGCTTGCCAAATTGCAGAATCATGTGTAGATCCGGGAAAACTTGCATTCATATTTAGGATTTTGTAATCGCTATCTACAATAATCTGACAATTTATGCTATGATAACCTTTCCTTAAATAATAAAGCAGACCTGAATAATCTTCAAGTGGTGATATAATGGCAATGTACGAGAAATCAATCGAAACATCTGGGAAAGTTATATTTTTCCATGAAACTATCAATATCAATAAACCGAAACATACTTAAAAATATCCTGGGGGTAATTGAAATGGATCACTCATATAGGGATATGAGTGATCCATTTCAATACCGAAAACCCGATGGTGGAGACACAGACGAACCCGAACCCAAAAGCTCAAATACTAACGCCGACTTAAAGTTACATGCTGACCACCTGGCCCGCATGCAAGAAATCTTTGAACTTGTCCGAGTAAATCCAGCCCGAGCATTTACTACCCAGAGTAAGCATTAAAAGTTACGACGCCGAGAATGGCGGTGCCATGTTGGTCATAAAGTAATGAAACAGGAGGTGCATTTATCCTCCGCCGACAAAGGATTTGCCGCAAAACTTGCCCCGAAATACTCCGGCTACTACACGGTAACTAAAGTCATTTCGCCCGTCGTGTATGAGCTCAAAGGAGAGACAGGACGAAAATTAAACCGAATACATAATAAAGACCTTAAACCCATGCCCCAAAACTAAAATAAAGCGAAATAGCACCCAAACACACGCCCCGAAATAAATCTGAAAATAAATGCCCCGATTCCCCAGACTAATGTTTTATTTGTTAACAGAAAGAATGTCCGCTCAAGAGAGCCGTAGCACGGACACCCTGGTAGCCGACCTAGACCGGGCCGCATAGGGGCTGGTCTTGTCCCCAACGCCGGAAGACTGGGATATGGGGAACCTCCCCATTACCCCGGAACGGCCGATAACCTCAGGTCACCGAGGCCGCCAACCGAAAAATCCGCAGACGCGCCCCGGCCAACATCGGCGGTCGTCTGCCCCTCAGCCGCCGCCAGCGTGGCCCCGCCGAACACTACTGGGGAGCCGACAAACACCTTTCGACCCCCGACTTCCGGCTGCCCTCTTTCGGAGGAGAGCTGCGGCGGGGCGTTATCAGGTGCCCGCGGACTTGGTGACGGTATTCGTGGGATACCCGAAGGGCATCCGGATGAAGGCGGACAGGGCGTATCTCCCGGTCGGCTTGCCGTCTGGACTCTGCTGGAGGTTCGGGCGCCCCGGCCACGACCACGCGAGATGTTCCACGAGCTACCCAAGTCTGCGGTACTGCAGCCGTTGTGGACAGGTGGGGGTGCGGTCAGCGGACTACTGCCGGCAAAGGAACCGCACCGGAACACCCTCCGCCCGGATCCAGGATGTTGCCGCGCCCGCTCCGGTGACGACGCCATCTCCGGCCACGGTGCATGAGTCCGGTGCCGTGCCCAACCCCGCGGAATCTGGCACACCCTTCCCCACATTTTGTTGGAGCTGCGGGGTGCGGGTAATCCGTCCCCAATAAGAGCGGTGTGAGTGTGAGCGGCACCGATGGGAAAAGACAGAATTTTGTGTTATGTTTTTGTTTTTTTTATCTAAGAATAATTTTTTTAAGTTAAGACCCCGTTTGATTTTAACAGAAAAAGAAATGAAATTTCTCTTTTTCCGAAGTAAGGGGGGGATGTAAGGAAGTTACTTTTTCCCTATTCCTACCCTGTGTCATAGAATCCCGATCCAAATGATTTAAATCCCGTAAGTCATAAACGACCTCTGGAAGAGCCCATATGTAGAACTACCACCGGAATGACCCGTATAGTAGTCTACGCGCACAGCCCGATTGCTTACTTGTGCCATTCGCCGAAATTCTAATGCTCGTTTTTTATAAAACTCGACAACGGGAGATACAGCCGAATCATGAAATCTGCAACAAGGCTGACCTTTGTGTATGTATTAAACGAACCACACAATTTATTTATAAATTCCCCTAAACCCTGGAACTTTATCTCCGCTGTCAACCCTAAAAGCTACCCTCGCATATAGTGGAACTCAACCACTTTAAACCCATTGAAGTTGGAGACAGAGATTTTATTAGAAAGTCCGCAAGTCTTCGCTAAGCGCAGATAATACAAACTCCAATTTCGGTAAAAATCACAGTTTGTTTACTAACGTGTCTACCAAAAATCGAAATGTTTTAAAAGGCAATTGTCATGCCCATACCGTACCTTCATTTGCAAGCTTACCATAGGGAAAATACATTGTAACTGGACCAGATAAGTCGCAGTCAACACAAAGCGAGAACCTTCTCAGAAATGATTTGGATGCGTCGTCGAGACATGCGTACTAAAACAAATTTTACCAGATTTACACCGCACAAAATACAAAACAATAATAAAGCATCGATGTATGAAGCAAGGTCAACTGTTACGGCGCATGCTAGCTTACTCATCCACGCGTCCAAATCATTTCTACAACGATTTTCGCTTCGTGCTGACTAAGACTTATCTGGTCCAGTTACAATGTATTTTCCCTATGGTTAGCTTGCAAATGAAGGTACGGTATAGTACATAATTGCGTTAAGTTTGCCATGGATGCTTTAGACCTGGATGTTGAAAATCTGATTCTTAAAGTATACTCTCATTTTTCGATGTCTGCCAAACGGAGGGAAGAACTAAAATCGTTCCATGAATTTACCGATTGTAAGTGGCGTGAGTTGATAAGACACGTAGGCACACGTTGGCTTTCTTTGAATCATTGTGTGGAAAGAATATTGTCAAATTATGCGGCACTATGCAGCTATTTTTTTAATTTAGAAAACTGTCCAAATATGATTAAAAAACTTTTTAAAATCGATGAAGATACTGACACTGTTTCACCTGAAATTGAAATTTACCTACTATTTTGTAATCACATTCTTGATGTTTTTGAAACTTTCATAAAAAAAATTGAATCCAATGAAACTACTGCACTTGATTTATTCAGTATTATGACTGAATTAAAATTAGCTATAAAGCAAAGATGGGATAAGGCGTTTTTTGGACATCAAACCAAAGTGGAATTGAGATCCCTTCGTGACAAAACAATTGCAAAAAGAATCGAAATACAAATATGTTTTCTTTAATTTTATATTTGTACACATAAATATTGTCATGTATGTTTTTTATTTTTTATATATTCTTTATGTCATGTAAAGTTCTTTTTCTATCTGACTTGTGTAATACAACTTCATGTAAATAACACCAATAAATGATTTGATTTAATTTGATATACCTGCAAGCTCTGCATTTTCAGAACGCATTTTTTCTGTGATGGGCTCCAAATGGACAGACGAAAGAAACCGCTGCTCTACAGAACTAATTCGCTCAGAATTGCTAATTTACTTTAACTTCAAGGAAACTTGCGCGGAATTTTATGAACTGGCGAAAGGTGACAAACAGCTGCTGGAAGCAGCCAAGTCTAATATAACATATAAATTTAAGTTTTCTAATTGATTACTTTATCAATACACCAATATAAATATTGCTTCTTGCCTTAATATTTGTTTTGTACATACCTACATATTTGTTATTCAATAAAAATTGTAAAGTATAAATATTTTTTTTTATTCATGCACAATGCTTAATATTAAATTGTTTATTTTAAGGGTGGTAAACGCCCAAATGTTTTTAATAATGTAACTTTGTCCTTTTCGGCTTTCAAGAAAAGGTGGCAACCCTATCCGCAAGGTAAGTGACGCCAAGCTTCAAAAGGAAAATAAAACACTTTTACACGATGCTAAACATCTTTTGTATATGTAATTAAGCAAATAAAGAATTTGAATTGAATTTGAGTCAATTCTACCTGCGCTCTCTAGGAGTACCATAAAAAATATTCGCACATTTTTATTTTCCGTCTTTAAAAATTATACTTTACAAATTTTAAGTTAAATATATGCAAATGTTTCCTAAATATTACAAATTTTCAAAAATAACATCTAATATTTTTAATTAACAGTTACTAATAATAATAATAATAATAATAGACTTTATTGTGTAAGATACATTATACATATATATTATGTTTTAATGTTAATGTTTTAAAAGGCAATTGTCATGCCCATACCGTACCTTCATTTGCAAGCTTACCATAGGGAAAATACATTGTAACTGGACCAGATAAGTCGCAGTCAACACAAAGCGAGAACCTTCTCAGAAATGATTTGGATGCGTCGTCATACATGCAAAATATACAAACACAAAGGGTGTAAGCTCAGCATGGCTGGTCTACCGCTTAAACCAAATAATAACATAAATACATACAAAGAATAATATTCTTATAATATACTACCTAGGCATATTTGTGTTAATCAATATTTTGACCTTCTATATGAATATACGGAATATATACATGAAACTGGTTTATATTCGAGTTCCGATAATTTGCGCGTGGCATTAAAAAAAAACAAAGAGAAAAAGATTTTCTGATTTGACCTTAAAGCAAAAGGAGGAAAATTAAGAGGAATCTACATCCAATAACACAGGTCTACATTTGTTTGGTGCCGTAAATTCTATGTTATAATTTGGTTAATTAGCCCGCAAGATGTCGTGCGAAGCTGTCAAAATCTTGAAGTTCAGGTTGGTATCGATCGATAATAACCTAAAAAATTTATTTTATTATGTCATTATAATCAATTAATTTCTTTTTTAATTAATAATATCGATATGTCGTCGTCGAGAAGGTGTTGTGTAAATAATCCAAATACATTTTGTTACGTTTGTGGTAAATATGTAGTGAAAAAGTTTAGAAAACCTATAACAGATTTAGTGAAGAAGACATACGTTGATTACTTTAATATAGAGATAAAGGCTTTGAACAAACCGTGGGTTCTAAACATTGTGTGCAAGTTGTGTAGTGAACATTTAAGACAGTGGGCAAAAGGTAAACGTAATCATTTCAAGTATAGTGTGCCAATGATTTGGACAGAACCGAAAAATCACATTGATGACTGTTATTTTTGTGTTGTAAGATTACATGGTATAAACAAAAGAAAAATGATATATCCTGATTTACCGTCTGCTAAAAGACCTCGACTGCCTACAGATGACGTACCATCTCCTATGAGTCAAGATCTTTCAAATCTATCAGATTTGTTGAACACAGAGATGGTGGAAGTTTTTTCTGATGAACGTGACAGTGATTTTGAAGTGTCAACAGCGCTTTCACTGCTTCCTCAAGATGCTTTAAGGTATTTGATTAGAAACCGTGACCTTTCGAAAGAGCAATTTGTTATCGGAAATGATATAGTTTATTGTAATAACATTGGTGGCCTTCTTATGAAACTGAGGCTCTCAAGGTACAAAGCTGAAGAATGTAGTTTGTTTATGGACAGCTCTAAGCGAAGTTTAAAATGTGTCTTACTAACTATTGGGAATAAACATGCAGCTGTGCCTATCGCTCATTCAACGAAATTAAAAGAGGAGTATCAAAACGTGAATCTTGTTTTAAAAAAACTTTATTACTCGGAGCACCATTGGGTTATATGTGTCGATTTAAAAATGGTCAACTTTCTATTAGGTCAACAAAGTGGGTACACTAAATTTCCATGCTTCATATGTTTATGGAACAGCAGAGCAAAAAAAGACCACTAGATTAAGAAAGATTGGACTTTAAAAAATAATATGATGGTTGTCAAACAAAATATAAACCTGCCTACAGATAAGATTATTTTGCCTCCATTGCACATCAAATTGGGACTTATGAAGCAATATGTTAAGGCATTTGATAAAACTGGTCCGTGTTTTGTATATCTTTCAAGAAAGTAGCCCGGTTTAAGTAATGAAAAACTAAAAGCTGGTATTTTTGATGGCCCACAGATAAGACTTTAATGAAAGACAACGATTTCGTACATTCAATGAATTATTTAGAAGCAGCGGCTTGGAAATCTTTTGATGCTGTTTTAAATTTTTTTTTAGGAAATCAGAAGGACGAAAATTACAAAGAGTTAGTTCAAAACCTCTTAATTATGAGCATAAAAGTACAATCTGGACTGAGTATTACACGGGAATGTTCTGAAGACATTCATCGGAGAAAATCTAAAAAGAGAAGCTTCTAACCTGTAAAATAATGAGTAATTAAATGTAATTAAATGTTTTGAATTAAATGTTCTTTTGTGTTTTAATAAATTAATTAAATGCTTTTTAATTTATTTCCACTTGCGAAATCTGGAAAACTACAAGTAGCATTAAAAAAGTAAGTATCAAGTTTTTATCAGGGTACCGAATGTACTTGAAATCAGTTATACTTTTAGGTCTTCGTCGGTAATAGAGGTAACGATGGAGCAGAAGAAGCCAATGTCCGACTTGATGATGGTGCATATAATATTGAAATAGAAGAAAGACAATTCGAACCTATAAATGTACCCGACGTGGATGAAGAAATAGTGTTTAATAATATAGAGGGTAATGAAAACGAGATTGTCAATCACGTGCTTAACGTAGCGCAAGAAGGTAGAAGAGTATTAAAAATCTATTTCTTAGATGCAGGCCTTAATTATATTGAGCAGAAAAAACTTTTGAAAATCCTAAAAAACCTCTTTTTTACATGTATTATATATATACAGTGCTTGCAAATCCAAGTCCGACCGCGTTGGAAAGGATGGTTGTTCAATACCCGCGTGAAAAGAATAAGGATAGAATGCCAAACAGAATTTGATTGGTCAGAGCGTCAGGTGTGCGTATTGTAAGCGCCTTCTGTTTGGCGTTCTATCCTTGTTATTTTCACGCGTCTTTTCCAAACCGGTCGGACTTGGATTTGCAAGCACTGTACACACATCAACATGGTCTAGGGATATTTTAATAAATTTTATTCACTTTATTTATTTAACGATATTTCATTCTTATTTTATATACACTGCCTACAACACACCCTGTACCTCAATAAAATCCTGAAAATTCCGATCAAAATCGTTATTGCGTTAAAAAAAACCTATAAAATAAGATATTGTTATTGCAGTGTTTTTCATTTCGCGTGTTTCGCAAACGTTTTTTCAAGCAGATACCTAATAAATGCTTAGTTAAATTCAATAGTCAAGAGAGACGACATTTAACAGAAGAGCAAATGTTAAGCGCAGTAGGAATGCTACAAGCTGATGCTTCTCAAACTGATGTGTCAGAGGCCATAGGTACTACTCAAAGTGTTATTAGTAGACTCTGGCAACAATATCGTAACACAGGTGGTGTTCGTGAATGACATTTGGGCCCACAACGAGGAACAACACCAAACCAAGACCGATTTTTAAGTTCACGTGCGCGAAGAAATGTAACTGTGACAGCTTCTGAGTTAGTTTCTGACCTACAGTAGGGTGGGCCGAAAAAATTATTTTTTGAATTCAATTTAGGGGTAGCAAAAAAAATTTACCTTATGCCAAAAGTAGTTTGTAAAAAAAAAATTAGCGTACTAGCCCAATATTTAAGGCCCCCCCTGGGCGCCCAAAATATTATTTTTTTATATATTTTTTGGGGGTAGCAACAAAAAGTTACATTTTGTTAACAGTAATTCTAGAAAAAAAAAATTGCGTACTAGCCCAATATTTAAGGCCCCCCTGGGGGCCCAAAATATTATTTTTTTATATTTTGTTTGGAGTAGCAACAAAAAGTTACATTTTGTTAACAGTAATTCTAGAAAAAAAATTGATTACTAGCCCAATATTTAAGGTTACCCCGGGGGCTCATTTTTTATATTTTAATTGGGGTAGTCACAAAAAGTTACCTTATGTTAACAATATGTCTAGAAAAAAAGTCCGATATTAAAAATGTTTATAAATTTGGAAATGTTTTTTTTTAAATAAAAGAACTAAAAATATTTATAAGTCAAGCAGACGACTTCTATATAAGGTTCGGCAAGTTTCCCTTTCACGCGCAAGCGGTGAAAAAGTTTGTGAAGCTTGTAACAGAAGCTGCATTAAAAATTTGCTTTGAGGTAGCAAGAAATGGTTATAACCATATATATATAGATGCGCGGACATCTTTACCGGCCTATATGACAACAAGTATCAATATTATTTAAATAATAAAAAATACTGGGTGGGAGGGAGCGGATGGAACTCGAGGAGCAAATATCCAATTAATTAATAATAATAATAATAATAATAATAATAAAAATGCTTTATTGCATAAAACACAAAATTAATTACACAAAAGGCTGCGTTCGTAAGGACGTCCTTCCATACCACCTACTAAGAAATTAAATCTGTTTTATTCTGCATATCACATATTAATTAAACTAAATCCTATAATTTCATATCACAACAGTTAATAACAAATTAAATGTGTTTGGATATTGAAATATTATGTTAAAGAATGTTTTATCGTTCAAAATTTTTATAGATAGGTCTATAAACGAATCCTTAGATTTTGAAGTTTTGTGACTAGGTATTTGAAAAAGATTGTGCCTTAAATCAAGATTGTATTTATTGGATCTTTGAATACAGTTGTTGAATAGGTATTCAGGCAATTATTAGGTATTTACTTTCTGTAAGGCTCAATTATTTTTAAATGCTTGTTTTCCAAATAGATTGAAGTAATGGGGTCAAATTTTCCGACTAAATATATGAATCTAATACATGAGTTTATTTTTAAATGTTTCAGTATGATATGAGTAGTAGACTGGCATGCAATAGTCTATAATAGGGTGTATATTAATGTTGAAACAATTTTGCACTTGGTGTTAGAATTTAGAACATATTTAAATTAATATAGTGATTTCAGCTTCATATAACACAAACTAAGTTGTCTTGTAACATGGCTTTCAAAGTTCAGGTTTGTATAAATAATAAAAAAACACCCAGATTTCTTGCTGTTTCTTGCTGAGGTATTTCTATAATATTTATATGTATGGTATTAAAATTATATTGTTTTTTATTTATCATATATACTGTACCAATATTTATTACAAGACCCTTTTTGGCATTTAACTGAAGTCTATGATTAACTGACCAAGCATTTACTTTTTTTAAGACTTTATTTATTTCGATAGTGGTTGTGTTAATTAATTTAGAGTAACGCAAAATCTTTTTTAAATTTAATAAAATCAAGCCAAGAGTTGCTAATTTTTTTTCATCAAAAGGCGTCTTAATAAAATAATAAAAAAAACTTAGACTGATACAGGCATTTGGTTTGTCTATGCAATAATACATGGGGTAACTTTTTGTTGCCATCGCAATTAAAATATATATAGAAAAATTTGGGCCCCCCAGGGCACCCTTAAATATTGGGCTAGAATGGCTATTTTTTTCGAAACATACTGTTAACATGAGGTTACTTTTTGTGGTTACCCCAATTAAAATATGAACAAAAAATATATTTTGGGCCTCCGGGGCACCCTTAAATTTTGGGCTAGTACGCTCATTTTTTTTAGAATTACTGTTAATATAAGGTAACTTTTGTGGTTAACCCAATTAAAATATGATAAAAATAAATATTTTGGGCCTCCGGGGCACCCTTAAATATTGGGCTAGTACGCTCATTTTTTTTTCTAGAATTACTGTTAACATAAGGTAACTTTTTGTTCCCACCCCAGTCAAAACATACAAAAAAAAATATTTTGGGCCCCCGGGGGACCAATAAGTAATGGGCTAGTACGCTACATTTTTTTCTAATAAATTACTTTTAACATAAGGTAACTTTTTATTGCTACCCAAAAATAAATATCTCAAATATTTTTTTTTTTACGTTTTTCGGCCCACCCTAACCTACAGTTAGTTCATAACATTACAATAAGTGCCCAAACTGTAAGAAGGCGTTTGCATGAAGCTAATCTACATGCTAGACCACTAAGAGTTCCACCATTATCACGTGGCAATCGCGCAGCAAGATTAGCTTGGGCCGAAGAACACGAAAACTGGACTAGAGTCGAGAGTATTGTTTACTAGAAGAACAAGAGTATGGAGAAAGCCGGGCCAAGTGCCACGTCTGAAAACAGCTCAAGAGGTGCACAAAACTCACCTGGCCGAAGGTATAAAAGGCGATGGAAGGATACCATTAAAAAAAAACCAAGCATGAAGTCCGTAAAAGGGTCAATGCTTACGGGACAGGGGGTCGGAACCCCAGAACCGTTCGGGAATGGTGGTGGCAGTGCAGGCCCCACCCGATCGTCAACCAGCGACTGTACGACCCCGGGGGCAAACCAGCCCGGGTATTTGGCAACAGCTACTGGGACACCGCAGAAAGAAAACATAAATAAAAAATCAAAAAAAAAAAACATAACATCAGAAGAAAAAACACCACAAAGAGCGAACGTTGGAACGTTCAACATGACGTGGAACGAGGAAACAGAAAAAGTAGAGCAGTTGGGAACCCCTACACAAATTAAACATAGAAAAAAATCCCAACGACAATACAAAGATCATTTTCCCTGGATGGCTTGCACAAGAAAAGAAATCTATTAGACACCTCGATAGGAGAGACAGCAAGTAAGGAGGACCCATATAACAGAAGGGAAAGTCCAGAAGCGTACGTGTTAAATGAGACCTTGGGGATCATCACAAAGCTCGTGCAGGAACTAGGGAAGCATATCGAACAAAACACAAAAAGGGAGGTTAGAGAACTGTCCGAGAAGCTGAAAAGATAGACGGAGGTCATAAACAGGCTCTCGATACAAAACTGGCTGGAGGCGCACAGGCTGGAGGATGTACCCAAGATGACCTTGGATGCTGATACTCAGACAGAGGACAGCAAGCAAAGAGATTCTGACACTCAGACAGAAGATATGGATAAGTACACTGAAGCTAAACAGGCAAACAGTTATGAGGAGTGGACCAAGCAGAAAACTTATGGAGAGAAAACGAGTATACAAATACAACCGTAAGAACAGGAAACCCAGTTAAAACCAAGGACAATACAGTGAAGGTGATATTGGTCGGACCCTCCGATCCTGACATGGTAAATGGTTTACTAAAAAAATATAAAGACCAATACCCACATCTGGATATGATGAAGGACGATTTTAACGTCCTTTAACAAGAATGCACCATCAAAACCAGAAAGCCCGGCACGAAAATGAAGAAAAAAATAATAAAGGCAACACATGATGGAACAGAAGAAGACATATTTGAGAAATGCTTGGATATAAAAAGGGAAACAGAAGAAGACGAGAACATTGCATTCCATCAAATACAATATCTTGACACTGGGAGATTAAAAAAGATGCTGGAAGCGATCTTCCACGGGACAAATACCGTGGCAACTATTTATACTCCAAAAAATACACCCGCTGAAAGGAGGCCAAAGGAAAGACGCACTTATGCAGTAGTGGTAGAAAACAAAGGGAAATCCTATGAAGATACCCTAAAAAAAGTGAAAGCTGCCCTGATAGAGAAGTCACAAGAGGGAATCCGAAATATCAGAAGCACTAAGGATGGAAATATTCTGATCACAACAGACAAGGATCAAAGTGTGATAGATAATATAAAGAAAACTATTCAAGAAAGAAACATGCTCGAGGAAGGAAAAATAATCAAACTCGGCAAAAAAGAGAATAAAGAAGTAATATTTATTAGAGGAATGGACGCCGACACCACCAAGGAAGAAGTATTGGAAAGCCTAAAAGAGCATATAGAAGCAACAGCTTTAAATAATACCAAACTCAGCGACATAAGACCATACACGGGCCATCACCATCACAGTAGACAAAGCCGAGGCAACAAAACTCCTAAAGAAGTGTACCATAAAGATCGGGCTGGTGTACTGCCGCTTGGAAGCCAGGATAAATATGCCCAGATGCAGGAAGTGCTGGGCGTATGACCACACTGAAAAAACATGTAGCGGCCCTGATAGGTCCAAAATATGCCATAAGTGTGCAAAAGAAGGGCACAAAGCGATAAACTGCCCAAACGTAGATAGTTGCCCCATGTGCAGCGAGGCAGGCCACAGGGCAGGAAGCGGGAAATGCCCAGTTTTCCGCCAGTCTCTGTCGCGCGCGAGAAGACAAAGAGATACCAGGGGGAGAGGCGAACTAGCCACTGTAAGTGAAAATAACCAAGGAACTCAAGCATAACTTCCAAATGGCTAAGCAGCTGAAGATAATCCAACTAAATGTCAATAGATGTGGACAGGCGCATGACCTCCTCGAGTACAAATCCAGGAAAGAAAATATAGACATTATCATCGGACAAGAGCCGAATAAGAGGAGAAGTGTGACATATTTCTGTGATATACAACGTGATAGCTTTCTTGGCATAAATAAAAACGTAACTGTGATAAAATAGTCTAGTCATTCTGGCTTTGTATGCGTAGAACTTATGTGTGTTATAGTTTACTCGTGCTACTATTCCCCAAATAAACCAACAGAAGGTTTAGAAGAATTGCTGGATGATCTAGGGAGTCATATGAAGAACAGTAGAAAAGAAAAGATAGTGGCTGGGGATTTAAACGCGAAAACACAAATGATTGGGTCAAGAAAACAAGATGCGAGGGGATGCTTCCTGGAAGACTGGATTGAGTCCCAAAACTTGATTGTCCTAAATAAAGGAGACAAACCAACTTTTGTCGGTCCACAAGGTACATCTACGATTGACTTCACTGCAGCAACCTTCAAAATAGCAAGAAAAATCGAGAACTGGAGAGTGGAAGAATCCGAAGAAAACTATAGCGACCATAATAACATCGAATTCACAATAACCGAAATAACAGCAAAAAAAACGCAAAAAACAAATTTATGACGACTACTGGAAATCTGAGGGCTTTCACAGATGGCTGCGAGGACATGTTCAGAGGAGTAGACACCACATCTCCAGAAGACGTCACAGACCGAATCACAAAAATGTGTCAAAAACACCTAAAAAACACAAAGGGAGGAAACAATATGCGAATGACGAAATAGCAGTTAGGAGAGCTACATGTGTACGTCTCCGCCGACAAAAGACCAGATTAAAAAATGATTCTCCTCTCTGGCCAGAAGCAAACCAAAGATACAAAGAGGCTAGAAGGGTTCTCGGCAAAGAGATGAAGAAGGCAAAGTCGGAAATATGGAAACAACTCTGCAACGAACTGGAAGAGGATATATGGGGTAAGGCCTACCAAATAATAACAAAGAAACTAAAACTAAAACCGACAAATGAAATCAGCCATGACACTGTAAAGGCACAAATAAATAAACTGTTTCCAACGCACGTAAAAGCTAATTGGGATAGTCCACCCCTAACGGAGGACGAGATTGACTTTTTTAGCAAAGCGGACCTAGAGCTGGCTGCCCAGCAACTGAAAGTCAAAAAAGCAGCAGGTCCGGACAGCATAGGATCTGAAATTATAAAGGTCTGCGCCAAAAAACACTCGGAAGTTTTTGTGGCATTATTCAATAACTGTTTAAAAAAAGGTCTATTTCCTAAGATGTGGAAAATGTCCAAGCTGATACTAATAGAAAAGCCCAAAAAGAATCCAACCGACCAGATATCGTACAGGCCCATATGTCTCATAAACAGCATGGGCAAATTATTCGAGATGCTAATAAAAAATAGGCTGCAAGAAGAGATAATTGAAAAAAATCTAATACATAAAGACCAATATGGCTTCATCAAGGGAAGATCTACAATAGACGCGATTAAAGCGGTAGTGCAAGTAACCGAGGAAATTCGAAGAAAGGCGCTGAAAAATCAGGAATTCTGCAGCCTTATACTGCTAGACGTTTAATTCGGCGCCCTGGATAAGGATTGTAGAGGCCCTCAATAAAAAAAATGTAAGTAAATACATAGTAAAAATGATCGAGGCATACCTTTCGAACAGGACTATTATTTCGCCAGCAAATGGAGAGGAAATAGACATCAGCTGTGGGGTTCCACAGGGATCGATACTGGGTCCAACTCTGTGGAACCTCTTTTACGACGACATCTTAAACACTAGACTTGAAAGAGGGAATAAACTCGTGGCATATGCCGAAGACCTCGCAAAAGTCTCAACGGGTAGGACAAGAGCACAACTCGAAGACAATGCACAATATGCTGCGTCTCAAATAATAAATAAATTGGAAGAGATGGGAATTAGAGTTGCCACACACAAAACCGAACTACTAATACTGGTTGGAAGGAGGACTGTAAAGGAGATGACTGCTGATCAGGGTTAGATAGATGAATTAATATTTATTATGGGAAGATGTAGAGCAGTAATTAATGCTAGAGTATTAAACTGTAGAATCCTTTTTTTTAAGTAAATACTATAATATAAGTACAATGATTCTTTTTTGGATTTCTTGTTAAGTTCAGATTTTTATTATTTTTTACATTAATAATGATTCTTGTATTATCGAATTTGAGTGAATACTTGACTTAACATCATGTAAAAATGTTAAATAAAAATATTAGAAAATAATCACTTTAGATTAATTTTTAAAAATATCCTTAGAGCATGTTGATGACTCGAGAACCTTCTATGGTAAACTTGCAAACATGCGATGAAGGCCATTTATTGGGCTGGTTTCAAGAGTGCCTTTTGAAGTAATGCATTTAGTGTATCTTGGTGTGCTTGAAAGGAAACTCGAAGCTCTTTTGGTCAGCGCAGATTAACTGGAACTAAAGTTACCATTATAGATTCGCGTCCAAATTTGCTGGAGGACTACTGTCCTTCTGAATTTAATCGTAAGCTTGACCCATTGTCCCAGTTTAATCAATACAAAACTACCCCGTACAGGCAATTATTGCTATATGGAGCTTCGGCTATCCATCGCAATATTTTAAACGAAGAACGCGAATACTAGCGCTTACACTCTATAATTCGTTTTTTCAGTTTCGAACATTAATCACCTGAAGTTTTGGATTTTTGTCAAGCAGCAGTTGAATCGTACGTCAGTATTTGCGAAGACTGGTATGGCCAATCATTTGTGTCATATAACATCCATGCACTTCTCTACGTTGTTGATGATGTCAGGGAACTTGGGCATTGGAGTCCTTCAGCGCATTCTGTACTAAAATATGCAAAGCTTTAGAAAGTTAAGCACTAACAGACCACGTGGGGCTTTAGAACATCTTCACAACAGGAAAGCATGTTCAAGGTCCTCTTTTTGAAAACTTTACCGCTGAAAATTGTAAGCAATTCAAGACCATTAGGATTAGCACTTAATTAATTAATTTTTTAAAAGACAATGTTTAATAAACTACCACTTTTCCACAAACTATATGTGCATTAATATTGCAGCATTATCTAGAATATATATAATAATACAAAAATTATAATAATAATTATTGTTGACACTTTAAAAAGGCATTTTTTGGTTTATGTAAAAATCTAAAATTAGTTTTAAGTTAGTTTTAGGTAATACACATTGTTTTTGTTTTGTTATACCTATCATGTATTTATTGTAAGTATATTTTTTTAATTGGTAATCAGAGCTGGGAGTATCTTAAAAAAAAGATACTTAAAAGTAACTAAGATACTTAAAGTATCTAAGTTACTTTATCTTAGATACTTTTTATATTGGACAGAAAGTAACTTTAACTTAGTTACTTTTAAAAAGTATCTTGTAACTTGTATCTAAAAAAGTATCTTAGTTACTCGGTAAAGTAACTAAGATATATTCAAGTAACTTAGATACTTTAAAGTAACTAAGATACTTTTTAAAGTAACTTAGATACTTTTCAGTTTAACTAAGATACTTTCTTAGAGAAAATCGGGGGAATTCTAGAATGATTCAAAGTAATAACCTAACCTACAACATTTAATAGTGACAGTTTAGTTGGCAGTGCAAGCTTTTTGGTATCAACGACAAGTTCAACGTAAAATGTACCTACTTGTACTGTTACTACTTACTACCCGTACCACGAATGTTGGCATCTTATGACGTGTTTTTGTTCTGCGTATATTTACATAAAAGAGGTAGACAAGTGGGCCTCGGTGAAAAGTCTGGAAAGGCGTAGTTCAATGATGTACATAATATGATGAAAAAATAAAAACTTTCAGTACAATTTTTTTTGAACGACAATCATTGTATACAATTTGTATTATAGGTTACCAATATGTATAAAAATACTTTTTATATTCTGTCCACGTACACTCAGAGAAATATCAAGTTATGAAAAGCATATGAAATTATATTAATTTAAATAATCGGGTAAATTTGATTCAATTAGAAAAATTTGTAGTTTTATATTCATTTACCAACAGTTTTACAATTTTTTGAAACACTTTTAAAGTGTACCCTCTTTAAAATATATATACACTAATGGAAAAAATTAAGGGATCAAAAACAAATTCCAAATTTTTGGGCAGTTTTCAACAGGCCGTAACTTCGAGAGAAATGGTCGTACAGGAAATCAAAAAAAAAGGGAATTGTAGATCCAAGTGTCTAGTTTTTGGATTCGAACTTTAAAATTTTGTAACCTTCGCGGTTTTTGAGTAATCGTAGAAAAACCAGCAACAAAAAAATTTTCAAAATTTTTTTAGTTTTTTTTTTTGGTCTACGGACGTGGAAATTTTTTTTTTAGCTTAACCACTATAAGGATCGGATACTTTGTTCATTTAGCTTTAATTTGCTTTTTTATACACCCTGATACGCCCACTTGTCGCCGAGATATCGGTCTTCAAATGGAAAAGGATCCTTTTGT